GCCCATGCTCAGAGCAGCATCTGCATTAAGTACGAGCCCAGTATCTAAACTACAATTACTTTGCAAGTTTCCCTTCTTCCTCAATGCAAAGTACTTTAGAGTATACTTTTCAAAAACACTTTCTACCAATAAGCCCAAGAAGATTAAATGCAAAAGGTATCTTCTCCGTTTCACAAAAGAGGAGGCTGGGGCTCAGTAGGGCTAAGCGTCTTGCCCTCAGTTCACTCAATTAGTAAGAGTAGAACCAGGTCCAGAATTGCTCTGCAATCTTCATAAATCAACAATTAGTAGTCATTACTTCACAGAGACATTGTAAGGATAAATGAATTAACATATGTAAAGTGCCTGGTATACTGTCTGGCTCATAGTTAGGACTATGTTATCATTACTAACAGTATAATCACCACCACCCAGAATCCTCAATTCCAAAGCTACAGCTCTTTTCCTTCTATCCTGCTGTCGTTTTGCAAAGACTGCTCAGAAAGTAGTTTCATCTCACCTTGAGTAAGTCCAGACCTAATCCCTATAGTCAGTCTATGGAACCCAGAACTCACTGGGCTTTCTTTTTTTTTTTCTTCTAATTTATTTTAAAAATCTTTTTATAAGCAGGGTCTTACTCTGTCACCCAGGCTGGAGTGCAGGGGCATCATTATAGCTACTGCAGCCCTGAACTCCTGGCTAAAATGATCCTCCTGCCTCAGCCTTCCCAAGTAGATGGGATGACAGGTGTGCACCACTGCACAGACTATCTTGCCACTCCACGAACGACTCCACACTTGTGTGCACAGGGAAGTACACACACTCCACCTTTTCTGCCAGTCTGACACTCATCTCCTAGCCTCTCTGATGGCACTTATGCCATGTTAGACACCTTTCTGTAGTTTACCCTGCCTGCAGTACATGACCTTCACTTAGATCCAACTCTTCATTCATTTAGTTTCTTTCTTCAACAATCATTTCACAAGCACCTACCCTTTACTAAGCCCCGTATTAGAGGCTTTTCCTTGAAAACTTATCAAATGAAATGTGCAGGAGCAGCGGGATGCACAAGGAATGGTGACAGCACGAAGGTGCCAGAAAGTAACCGTCAGCGGGCAGCACAAAAGATTTCTCAGGAGGCAAAGCTAAAATGGGTTTTAGAGTAACTAGAGTGCTCTCAGCAGACAAGGGGAGAAAAGGACATTCATTCCATGCTATGGGGAACAGTGTGTATACAGGGATACAAAGCAGAATCATATAGAGTATGGGGTATACAATCTCACACTACGAGCATGCAGGGGATGTGAGTGTGTGTGTGCGCACGTGTGTGCACATGTGTGTTACTGTGAGATAAGGAATATATATATACACATATTCCATATATATAATAATGAATATATATCTATACATAAGGAATATACACACACACACACACACACACAGAGAGAGAGAGAGAGAGAGACAGAGAGAGAGACAGCACCTTCTTCCCAGTTCCGGGCACAGCTTCAAAAACCCTTGGCATTTCCCAAGGGATGGGGGTGAGAGAAGCCTACTTTGTGATTTATAACAAGTCCCTCTACTACACCTGAATTTATGCTAATGAAGTGGGGATTTATTTCTTACGGTTCCAGAGGCTGGGAAGTCTTAAGATTGATGACTGACTCTGGCAGGCCTTCTTGCTGCATCATCCCATAGCAGAAAGGCAGAAGGGCACAACAGCACACACAAAAGAGAGAGAGGGCAGGAGGGGGCCGGACTTGTTTTTATCAGAAATGAACTCTAGCAATGACAGCATTAATCCATTCATGATTAATTGGGCCCTCCTGGCCCAACCACTCTGAAGGGTCCTACCTCTTAATACCATCACAATGGCAATCAGATTTCAACATGAGTTTTGGAGGGGACATTCAAAACATGGCATGCTGACATAGTGAAACCTCCATAAATACCTGAAACCTCTGAATTCAGAGAGCTCCCAGGTTGGTGAACACATCAAGGTGCTGGGAGGGTGGTGCACCCTGAGAGGGAATGGAAACTCTAAACATATACACACACACATACACCCCCTCCCAAAACTTTACCCTATGCATCTCTTCATTTGGCTGTTCCTGGGTTGTATCCTTAATAATAAACTAATAGTAACATAATACTAATAGTAGGGTTAATAGTAAGTCAACTGTTTTTCTGAGTTCTATGAGCCGTTCTAGCAAATTACCAAACCTGAGGAGGGGGTTGTGGGAACCAATCCCTCCAACTTTATAGTGAGTTGGTCAAAAGTATGGGTGGCCCAGGCTTGTGATTAGCATCTGAAGTGGGAAGAGTCTTGTCCCTACTTACTCTGTGGAGATTATGCTAGCTCCAGGTAGTGTCAAAATTGAATTAAATTGTAAGAAACCCCAGTTGGTGCCCAGCAAGTTTGGCAAGTTGGCCAATGCAAGAGAAAAAACCCCACACATTTGGTGTCAGGAGTGTTGTGAGTAGCAATGTATCATACTAATAGTAGAGTGAGTGTGACAGTGTGGGTGTGTGCACGAGACAGAAGGAAACAGAGAGAGAGGGAGAGAAATCAGATTAGATTAGATATGGGATGGTGCAAAATGAGGCTAGAAAGGCAGGAATAGGCCTTGAGTGCCATGACCAGGAGACACCTGGGCGGCTCCAGCGTTCCAGCAACCTTACACACTGAAGCCTCAAGGGCATCTCCCTCCAAACCGCCTGGGGGTGGGAGGCAGCTGGGACAACAAACATCAAGCCTGCCTTTCCAGGGGTGAGTGGCAATCCCGACTCCTTGGGTATGCTTACGGCACACCAATTTTCAATGCAAAATCCTTTAACAACTGTTTTCTCTCTCTTTCTGTCTTTCCTTCCCCTCCTTCTAAAGAAAAGCTGTTTATCCCTCTTCTCATTTCTGCCCCGCTCTGAGCCCTGAGTTTTAGTGCCAGTGCTTTTACACAAATCCAGCTTTACATCTTCAGTGAAATATAATTTCATAGGAATGTAATTCTGGAATGATCTCATTGAAAAAGCACACCCAGCAAAGGCCATGAACAGACTTTAGGCCAGCCCATTCACACCCAGAGCCAAGAAGATTGCAGACCCCTTTCCCTTAAATGGAGAATGTGCCTGGGACCCAAAGCAAAGCACACCAGCTACCTAGGGATATTCTCCTGCCTACAGCCAGCCAGCCTGCCTGCCTGCTTGCAGACCACGGCCAGGGCCCACAGCAGCGACCACCATGAGCCACTCTGGCACCATACAAGGACAGACTCAAGAGGGCATCCAAGCAAACAGGCCTCGCCGCAGAGACGTTGCCTCTGGCCCTCGGGAGGGCTCTGGCTCCATGCCATCAAACATTAACTGAAAATATTAACACTCCCCTGTCATAGCCCCATCGGAGACAGAAGAGTATCCAGAACTCCAGCTGCTAAAGATCCTCCCCACACCTACCTGCCTTCCTAACTCTCTGAAACCCAATTACCATCTGACCCTATTGAGAGAGAGTCAGAAAGTGGGGCATTTGACTCTGAAACTAGATGTCAAAGCCAGGCCCAGCCCAGTCCAGCAGAGCTGAGGCAGAGCAGAACTGGGGAAGAAATAATACAGTCTGATGGACGCTCAAATAATCCTGCTGAAAAAAAATCACCAAGTTGGAATCTCTGGAAAAAAGTCCTCGTTCCAAATCTGTTCCCCACCCCCAATGAATTCTCATAAAATGGACCAGAAAAGGAGAAAAAAAAAAAAAAAAAACTTAATGGCTTGCAGGATCTATGGGAACTCTCTGTACTATCTTTGCAACTGTTCTGTAAATCTGAAACTATTCTAAAATGTAACATTTATGAAAAATAATGGCTTATCATGGTTTCCTCTGTAAGAAACAACGGGAAAAGCTTGATATGGGTATCAAGCTTGGTATGAAACTTGGCCTCTACCAGCTATGAAGCTTTGGATGCGTTGCCTACCCTTTCTAAGCTTCAGTTTCCTCATCTGTAAAATGGAGACAACAGTTCCAACCATGAAGTGCTATTGTGCAGATTAAGTAAGATAGAGCATGCAAAGGACTTACCACTGCTAAAAGTGCTTTCTTGTCTGGGCAGCAGCAGTTTCTTCGCTCAGTCAGCCTTCACGATGGGTTCTTGACAACTGCGGCTGGGGACCCTACCTCTACCCTTCAGCCCTACCTGTCTTTATGACTAGCAGCCTGTTCCAGAAACAGCAGGACACTTTAATCCCAAAGCACAGTAATCACCTGAAGGGCTGAAGACTGCCTGACAGCAAGTTCTGACTAGTGAAAGCACATCTTTGTTGACAGAAACATGTTCTCCTTCCTGCTTTCCTTAGAATTCAATGTCACTGCCATTAGCTGAATGACTTTCCTAAGGGTTACAGGGATCCATCAGAAGGAATTCCAGAAGCTGACAGAGTTGGGCTTCTGACAGAGAGGAAATCTCAAAATTGTCACAGAAGATTCTTCCCCTTCAGTAGCACCACTACCATCCACCATCTCATCACCACCACCTCAACTCCTGGCTGTGCCCTGCTCCCCATCCTAGCCCCACATGAAGCTGGGCTGATAAACTACAAATCTACAAGTCAAGGGGCACAGCAAGTTCCCCAAAACCAAGACATATGTCTCAAGGCTAGGCAGGAAGTTGCCCCCAGGCCCTGAAGCCTGACCCCAGAGCCTCAGCCACCTTGCCTCTTTTCTACATGATGGTGTTACTTGCTTCTCTGGAGAGACTGAGCTGAGTGGGCAGTCTAGGAACCCCATCTAGGTCTTTTTTTTTTTCATTTTTTTTTAAATTTTCACTTTTTTTTGAGACAGAGTCTCGTTCTGCTGCCTAGGCTGCAGTGCAATGGCGCGATCTTGGCTCACTGCAACTTCCACCTCCCAGGTTCATGCAACTCTCCTGCTTCAGCCTCCTGAGTAGCCGGGATTACAGGGGCCCACCAACATGCCTGGCTAATTTTTGTATTTTCAACAGAGACGGGGTTTCACCATGTTGGCCAGGGTGGTTTCGAACTCCTGACCTCAAGTGATCCGCCCGCCTTGACCTCCCAAAGTACTGGGATTACAGACATAAGCCACTGTACCTGGCCCCCATCTGGGTCTTATAAGTGGATGGACTAGAGACCAAGGAAAGAAATCAGGTGAAGAAAGGTATAGCTGTGATACCGTGTTATCTCCTTGAAAATCACTGACAAGAATGTCAGATACTTAAAAAAAAAAAAAAAACTCTCCCAAGACAAAGGAGAAGTCCAATCTCACCCTGAAAATTTACTGTCCAAATAAGGGAGCAGTCAGTGCTAGAACAGTCAGGCTGTTCCAATTCTGAAAAGCCCTGGGAGAGAGGCAGTTCCCGGGCTTCAGATTCCACTGACAGGTTGTAACCCCTCGAAGCCACTAATGGGCACATTCTAGTGGCTAATTCCTCTGACCTTCCAGATGGCTGGGTTGGGGACACACCCCAGCCGAGGCCGAAGGACATCGGTTCCTGGCAGGGAGTATGCAAAATCTCAGCAGCTCCAACCAGACGAGATAACAGTCCCATGCTCAAGGACGAGCTGCCAGAAGCAGGACCCAGGAGGAAGACGTCCTTGGAGCCATTTCTTCTTTAACCAAATAAGAGCCAAATATAGCCAAATATGAAGAAACAATGTCGTCTTCTTTGAAATTTTTCTCCAGTTTATCACCTCATACCTAGTTTACTGCAATGGTCTCTGGTTATACAGAGAGCACTTTATCCAGTGCCAGCCCATAGGAGGCACTAAATAAATGTTAAATGGTATTACTGAATTACAAGCTCCCCTTTATTCTTCTACCTCCAGTCCTCTCTGCTCATAAGCGACAGACTAAGCATCCTGGAATGTCAGTATCATCATATCATTCTTCTGGGCTCCTTAACTGCCAATCACACCAGACTCAGGTTCCCTTAATTGGTTCCAACCTATCTCACTTTCCAATTCTTTCTTCCCTCTTCAGCCAGCCCTGGCCCTACCTTCAGCCAGCCCTGGCCCTACCACCCTCCCCAGACCTGCCCACACAGAGATGCACAGACTTGCACATGCACGCATGCACACAGACACACACACACACACACACACACACACCCCTACCTCTCTCCAGGCAGGATACCTTCTGCTCCAAACATGTCCACATGTCCATTTCTGCCCCATATTTCTGGGCTCAAATCACTGGCAGCCTGGAGTGCTCTCCTTCCTCTCTGCTTATCCAATTCCTAGTATGTTCCAGGTATAGCTGTGATACCGTGTTATCTCCTTGAAAATCACTGACAAGAATGTCAGATACTTAAAAAAAAAAAAAAAAAAAAAAAACTCTCCCAAGACAAAGGAGAAGTCCAATCTCACCCTGAAAATTTACTGTCCAAATAAGGGAGCAGTCAGTGCTAGAACAGTCAGGCTGTTCCAATTCTGAAAAGCCCTGGGAGAGAGGCAGTTCCCGGGCTTCAGATTCCACTGACAGGTTGTAACCCCTCGAAGCCACTAATGGGCACATTCTAGTGGCTAATTCCTCTGACCTTCCAGATGGCTGGGTTGGGGACACACCCCAGCCGAGGCCGAAGGACATCGGTTCCTGGCAGGGAGTATGCAAAATCTCAGCAGCTCCAACCAGACGAGATAACAGTCCCATGCTCAAGGACGAGCTGCCAGAAGCAGGACCCAGGAGGAAGACGTCCTTGGAGCCATTTCTTCTTTAACCAAATAAGAGCCAAATATAGCCAAATATGAAGAAACAATGTCGTCTTCTTTGAAATTTTTCTCCAGTTTATCACCTCATACCTAGTTTACTGCAATGGTCTCTGGTTATACAGAGAGCACTTTATCCAGTGCCAGCCCATAGGAGGCACTAAATAAATGTTAAATGGTATTACTGAATTACAAGCTCCCCTTTATTCTTCTACCTCCAGTCCTCTCTGCTCATAAGCGACAGACTAAGCATCCTGGAATGTCAGTATCATCATATCATTCTTCTGGGCTCCTTAACTGCCAATCACACCAGACTCAGGTTCCCTTAATTGGTTCCAACCTATCTCACTTTCCAATTCTTTCTTCCCTCTTCAGCCAGCCCTGGCCCTACCACCCTCCCCAGACGGGCCCACACAGAGATGCACAGACTTGCACATGCACGCATGCACACAGACACACACACACACACACACACACACACACACACACACACACACCCCTACCTCTCTCCAGGCAGGATACCTTCTGCTCCAAACATGTCCACATGTCCATTTCTGCCCCATGTTTCTGGGCTCAAATCACTGGCAGCCTGGAGTGCTCTCCTTCCTCTCTGCTTATCCAATTCCTAGTATGTTCCCAGATCCAGGCCAAGGTCCCCTGAAGCTCAGGATGAGAAGCCATTCAATCCACAAACAATGACCAAGCACCTGCCTTGTGCAAGACACTAGCCCAGTCACTGAGGACACAGGAAGGAAAACAACACAGTCCTACAGGCTCCTGACTGGTGGGAGGGGCTTCAACATGAACTGCCCTGCTCAGCTGAACCATGCAGGCAGCAGAGTCAACCACCAGACATCACAGGCAGCCTGCTGTGACACTTGCAGAGGTAAGGTGAGGGAAGCGCATGAAACCCAGCTAGATGGGGTCTTCTTACCTCTCAAGACTCCAGTCTTTCAAAGAAGCCACCAGGGCCTAGTGGCTTAGAATATATTCTATTCTAAGAACCTTCATTCTCTGTGACCACCTTGGACTGCCCCATCTTGCTTTAGAATTTTATCAGCTAGGCTGGGTCCAGCCTCACTCAATAACAGCCATGGTCAACTACCTCTCCTTAGGGCCAGGCACAAAACTCACATCCCTGCTCTAAGCCAGGGAACAGAGAGACAATATCTCCTTAGGGGTTCCTAGATCTGATGCCACTTGACTACAGAGATGATGGGGGTCACATGGGAGCCAACCCTTAGGCCTCTCCAGGGAAAAAGGGTAATCTGCAATTCTCAGACCATAGAAGTAACTCCACCTTTCCCTCTCTTATTTAAGAAAGCTTATGAGAGAGTGGATGGGCTTGCTACTACTATAGGTATAATCTTGCATACCATCTAAATTATAAGAATAGGTAACCCATTTAAGTTTACTTTGGTCCTTTAACTCCTGTAGTAACAAATGCCATGTGATACATGCCTCACATGTGATACATGCCTCTAATCCTAAACTGCTAGTGAGTTACAGTGCCTGGAGAGAAGCAGCTGCTGTGAGCTTCCAGTGTGCCGCCAACCCCCAGGCACCCCACCTTGGATAGCCAAGAGGGTTACCTGAGTAAAAACAAGATCCTAAGACAGATTTGTAAGCTCAACCCAGAGGGTAATCCTAATTCATTTCCCCCTGCTCAGGGGAGACAAATGCTGCTGTATCAATGACTGGGGAAAAGGCCCACATAGTTTTCATGTCTCACCCTCAGACTGGAGTGGCGTCTCACTGTTTCCAGAAGATTGGAACTATTACTGACATGGTATTCATATGGATCAAGGGTACTTCCTGTTGGACATTCCTTAGGCCTATCACACATGGTCCAAGAAAGCAGTAAGATGGAAAAGAGAGACCAGCTAAGCTACTCCAAACGCCCACACCATCAGATGATCATCCCAAGTGTCAGAGAATCTGTGAATCAAGTGCTCAAAGCTACGCACATTGGGAGTGCTCTAAAATTCCCATCAATACAGTTATTATTTTTCCCAGAACCAGGAGAGGCTCTCTTGATGTAATCTTAGATACCAGGGAATATAATGTTCAATCCAGCGGAAAAAAAGAGAGAACACCTAACCCATCCCTACTTCTAATTCCAGCAGTAGAGACTCACAGTCTTCCTCATCATCCATCCTCCCTGTAATCTACCTGAAACTCAAGTCTCTGAATAAGCTTATCTCACATGTGACTTAGCTGTTGCTTTTTATAGCATGAACTATTCAGCCTCCTACTAAGACCATCTTTTCCAGAGAGGCTGAACGGGTCTCAGTCTCTACTAAAGAAGCTCACATCCTTCAGGAGCTTACCCCAAACAACAGTCACATATTTAGGCATGCTGGCTTGTACAGGTCAGGTCAGCCAGAAAGGCCACAACAGCTGCTGACCAGTACACCACATGTGAGCACTAACGGGGATCAATGAGTCAAGCCTTAAACAAAGGGCAGAATACAAGGAAAGAAGTTGCCATTGGCCCTTGGATCACCAGCAACTAGCTCGGAAGAGTCTGCCTGATGAGGACTGCATCCAGCCATAACGAGCACCTAGTCTTTGAAGCCTGTGGCATCCACACCATATCACTTCCTACTTGACTGCCTTCAGAGGGGCCTCCCACACAACCACCCCTTACACTACACCCATCTCCAAGGCTGGAGAGAACACCTAGGGCACATTATCTTGAGAGGCTTAGCTACACATTTTCAGTCTCCGTCCACATTCACCCTCCCCCCTGCCCCTGACAGCTCAAATATTCAGTCTCCACATATGTGTCTATGTGCCTGTGTGTCTGTGTTTTATTTATACTCCCCATGTCTGTTGTTAGCAACAGAAACAAAGTACTTTAAGGCAGAAAAGGCAAGTCTGCCAATTGGCTTGCTGCTCCCCGCCTGTTTCCAGCTCCGGGAAGGGCTGGTAAATGATCCTTCCAGCTCCAATCTACCATGTGTGCCTACAGCTCCCATGTACCCGGGGGCCGGGAGGCATGGTGCCAGTTTACCCCACATTAGTCACTGCTGCATGGGGTGCCGGCCATCACCTCTCTCTCTTCTTCACTGGAGGGCACACCCTGAACACCTGATTCTCTCACCTGCCTAAATGCTGATTTCTGTTGAAAGGCAGAGCTTCAGAAGCCAGAATTCGAGAAACCCATGGTAAAGATGAAAGGGAAGTGCCGCCCCAGACTCAGATTCTGGAGAACTAGCCTAGACTAAGTTTTACTTTCACATCCTTCCATTTCCACTTCAGTTTTTCTGCTACTGATAATCTTCCAAGTTCCAATAGCAGGCTCCCTAATAACATTGACAGTAATTATTGATCACCACTTTGTTTCAGCTGAGAGACCAAAACATGAGATGTGATTCTTGCATGTGAGGAGCTCACAGACAAATGTAGGGCGATGAGACACAACAGCAAACAATGCAAGTGTGGGACACAAACTAGAAAGACAGGACAATGGGGTGATGGAGGGCACAGAGTAGCTCTGGACAGGGCTTCTGTAGGAGAGGAAATGTGAGCCAGGCTCTAAAGGACAAACAGTAGTTGGACAGAATGAGACACAAGACTGTTTGAGATGAAGAGTTAGACTATGACTCAAGGTCCCAAGGCAGAGAGAGCGGCAAATATCACACCCATAGTGTTTTTCTTACATTCAACTGAGGCTCAGCCCTAGTAGGTATGGAGGAAGGAAAGTGGCGTGACTTGGTAAAAATAAAACCCTCCCCTCTGGGTAACCATGCTCTCCAGTTCCTTTGCACCTACCTCTGCCAAGAGCATGTTCAGGGTTCCCTTCTTCTTCCCTTTTTTTTTTTTTTTTTTTTTTGAGATGGAGTTTCATTCTTGTTGCCCAGGCTGCAGTACAATGGTGCAATCTCGGCTCACTGCAACCTCTACCTCCCGGGTTCAAGTGATTTTCCTGCCTCAGCCTCCTGAGTAGCTGGGATTACAGGCATGCACCACCACACCCGGCTAATATTTTGCATTTTCAGTAGAGACGGGGTTTCTTCATGTTGGTCAGGCTGGTCTCGAACAGCCTGACCTCAGGTGATCTGCCTGCCTCAGCCTCCCAAAGAGCTGGGATTACAGGCGTGAGCCACCGTGCCCAGCCAGGGTTTAAAGTACTTTAAGGCAGAAAGGCAAGTTGCCATTGGCTTGCTGCACCCCGCCTGTTTCCAGACTTCCGGGAAGGGCTGGTAAATTGAATGACGCTTCACTCCAATCACTATACCATGTTGTGCCTACACTCCCATGTACCCGGGGGGCCGGAGAGCAATGGTGGCCAGTTTAACCCCACATTAGCCATGCTGCATGCGGGTGCCGCCTCACCTCTCTCATCTTCTTCACTGGAGGGCACACCCTGACACCTGATTCTCGACCGCCTAGATGCTGATTTCTGTTGAAAGGCATGAGCTTCCAGACCACGAATTCGAGAACCCATGGTAAACGATGAAAAGGGAAGTGCCGCCCCGAGACTCAGATTTCTGGAGAACTAGCCAGACAGACTACGTTTTACTTTCACATCTTCCATTTCCACTTCAGTTTTCTCTCTGCGCGATAATCCTTCCAAGTTCCAATAGCAGCGCCTCCCTAGTAACATTGGCAGTAATTATTTGATCACCTACTTTGTTTCAGCTGAGAGAACCAAAACATGAGATGTGATCTTTGCATGTGAGGCTCAACAGACAAATGTAGGCGATGAGAACACAGCAAACAATGCAAGTGTCGTGACACCAACTAGAAACAGGACAATGGGTGTGGATGGAAGGGACAAGTGAGCTCTGGACAGGGCTTCCGTATGGAAGAGGAAATGTGACCCGCTCTAAGGACAAAACAGTAAGATTGGACACGAATCTGAGAAACACAAGACTTTTGAGATGAAGCAGTTAGAACTATGACTCAAGGTCCCAAGCAGAGAGAAGCCGGCAAAGTACACAATAGTGTTTCTTGCTTAGCATTCCAACTGAGCTCATCGCCTAGTAGGTAGGGAGAAGGAAAGTGGCGTGACTTGCGAAAAAATAAACCCTCCCCTCCTGGGGTAACCATTGCTCTCCAGTTCCTTTGCACCTACCTCTGCCAAAGGCATGTTCAGGGTTCTCTTCTTCTTCACTATTTTTTTTTTTTTTTTTTTGAGATGAGTTTCCATTCTGTTGCCCAGGCTTGCAGTACAATGGGTCATCTCGGCTCACTGCAACCTCTACCTCCCGGGTTCAAGTGATTTTCCCTGCCCTAGCCTCCTGAGTAGTGGGATTACAGGCATGCACCACCACACCCGGCTAATATTTTTGCTTTTTCAGTAAGACGGGGTTTCTTCATGTTGGCA